ATGTAGTGGAGTAAAAAGTACAATATTTGTCTTTGAAATGTAGTGGAGTAAAAGTAAAAAGTTCCCAAATAAATAACTACTCAAGTAAAGTACAGATACTCAAAAAATGTACTTAATTACAGTAATAAAGTAAAAGTACTTTGTTACTGTCCACCACTGCTGAGTCGCGACCTCAAAGCTCCGTCATGGAGTTCCAACTGGAATACACTTAAGCGTATGCGCAATTACGCACGTATCCAGACCAGACTTATGTTCTAAACCCAAACGGTATGAACACTGGATTTACAAGGATCCTTTTAACTCACTTATCCACAGATGTGAGCACAAGCATGCAATCATTCGCTTCTCAAGCGAACCACAGTCACTGCTCTCCAGAGCTGACGGCGCAGCTCTCCAGCAGGACCTCTCCTCTGCGCGCGGCGGCGCAGAGAGAACCACAGAACCGGACCGCGGCGGGTCCAAAAACGCACCTTTTTGCCAGGATAAACAGATTTTTATCAGAGCCAAGGTCTGCAGCACCCGGACCTGATTCTGTACACACAAGCAAAGCAGTTTTTCTTAAACAAACTTCATGCCAAGGTGATAAAAATTAATTATTAATTTTTTTCCAGATTCATGAACAGATTAATATCTCATCCATCCAAGATTAGCATTTTTGCCCGCATTCTCCACCATTTATGAAGTGAATTACTCCGTGAAATCCAGGACCAGCCCAATCTTCACAGAATAATCCCCCAAGATCTTGCAAAATGAAATCTCAGATATGATGGTCCATCACTCTGTCCATGAATGAGAAATAAAACTTGTGACCTGAACGTATTTCTCAAAATAAAGCAATTTATTTTAGATATATGAACAGATTATACATACAAACATTTGTTAAAAATATTATATGAATAAACGACACAAGTTATAATTTTCGGCATAAAAATTCCACTCAGAGTTGACACAAACAGTAAATTCCAAGTGTTGTAATTTACTGGTACGCTGCTTAACTACGATTTAAGTAATATAAGAGAGAAAAAGGTAAAGATTTAGCTAAGAATAAGAGAGAAGAGAGAAATTAGTGATTTTGGCACTCATTCTTCATTTAAGACCAGACCAGCAAACAGCGTCAGGACCAGACATCTCCGAGGGCTAGACTTCAGCTTTTATCTCAGCAAACGTGTTCTTTCTACCTTTGATGTCTTCATGACAGCAGGACAGGCAGGCAGGTAGAAGGTTTTGAGATTGTCAGCATTGAAGTCCGCAGGATAATGTCGCCTTGACATCAGGGCTGAGGAAGGAGACTCCTGTCTCCCCCTAGCCAGCCAGTGGCTCTCGGGCTGGCCGTCTCAGAACAGTCGCTTCGTGGCAGTTAGTAACATCCAGACTCCATCCACACAGGTAGGTGTCCAGTCGGACACCTGAGAGAGAGGCTTAGACAGAACCATCCGCTCACCAACCAGACGAACAACGAACAACTGACTAACTGTTAACTGGCGAGAACAGAATATTAATTTGAGAGGGAAGGAAGGTGAGAAAGAAAACAAAACTGTTTTCCCACCAGCTGCGGCCAGCTGCAAGTTCTTTATCAGCAAAAAACCTTGAAGTCTGCAAAAGGCAGACTTGCTGTGCTTACTTAGAAGTTCACTTCACCTAAGGTTATGAATCAGACCTTTGCACAAATGGATTAACAACACATTATAATTAATCATTAAATCAATTAAGAAAAATGATCAAACCATGATTATAAGGCATTACTAAGAAAAAGCAAAATAAAACACATTTCACTCCTTTTTTCTTCACAGTCTTATATACTAAAATAAAGAGACATGCAAATATTAATTCAATAATACTTTGAGTAATGATATATTGATTAAAACCTCTTTTAAAAGATTAAAYGAAATAAAACATATAGAACCTATTGTTCTATTCACTTAAAGAAAATAGAAACAACATTTAAAAATGACTTTCTTCTTATAAGTGTAAAAACAAATCAAAGACAAAAAATAGAAATGAATATTTCACCAGGGTTACCCCTACACGAGTAAACCCAAAATCAATTAATTTCACTTTGAAGGGCGTAGACGTGTGATCAACTAACATTAAATTGTCAAGTTTAATGTCAGTGTGAGTCATTTTAATTTCTCCTAATGCGGTGAGAGAAACGAGTAATTGTTTTGTGATAGCTTGGATCTCAGACACTTTCAGAGGCGCCCAGTGTCTTTCTTCCATAAAGTCATCTAAGCTACGATCCAGCAGCTCAAATGCAAAGCAGAAATCGCCTTTATATTTGAACCAGTCAAAACAATTCATGATGTTGAACTGGTCAGGATCAAACTTCCTGAGTTGTAAAATTGCTTCTTTTTCTTTCGTAGCTGAATATGCTTTTTCTTTTTGACATAAGCCTCAGAGCAACACGCTGGTCCGTCTCATTTATGCGACACTTAGCTACTAATCCATAAGCACCTCGTCCGAGAAGTTTTTCCACATGGTAGACATCAGATTTATTGCAGATGGTGAAACCCTCCCGTATTTGACTCATAAGATTACTTGACTTAGACTTGGGGAATTCTATCAAGTCCTTGTCACCTTCAGGGTTATTTTTGACAGGTGGCTCCATGGTAGGACCAGGATGCAAGGTGTTTTGTGCCATCTTGGCCGTCTGTGAGTGTGGACTGACTATTTAACATAATTTTAAATGCTTCTTTTACATAAGAATCATTGCTGTTGTAAGGAAGATGACTCATTGTAATGAAGTCATGATTCAAAGCATCTGCAGGTTTTATCCAGTCTCCAGGGTTCACAGCCAGCATTCGTTTCAGCAAGTCTATAAATTCTTTCAAGTCCTGCACCTCATAAGGATTGTGCATAAAGGATGTCATATTAAGTACTTCTTCAAAAGGCACTAACTAAATATTCTGTGATTCTCTCCTCAAACTCTTGTTGGTATTTTTCTGCAGTTTTGAATTTCCAGACACTTCCAGAGTCCGTCTGGTGAAGCGTAAAGTACCGTGTGGCTCTGCATGCCCCGTCAAGTGTTTGTCTGGCTGACCAACGAGATTAAATACTGATTTTAAAATCTCATAATCAGTTTTACCTGGAAAAAGTCTCTGGCCAAGACAAAGCTCACCCAGAGTTGAAGCAAGTCCCCAAATGTCCACAGCTTCAGTTGCTGGAAACCCCAGGTACACCTCTGGAGCTCTGTAGGGTTTATCCTGAAATACATCCAACTCTGGTAGATCTGAAATTTTATAACAGAGGCCATTATCAATTAATTTGACTTTGAATGGCATGAAAGTGTGATTAACTAACATTATATTGKCAGGTTTAATGTCAGTGTGTGTTTCTCCTAATGCGTTTAGAGAAACAAGAATTTGTTTTACTATTGCTCGGATCTCTGACTTTCAAAGTCAATTTCTTTGTTCCATAAAATCGAACAGACTTTGGTTGAGCAACTCAAAGCAATTAAAAGTCTTGTTGGAAAAAGCAGTCAACCATAATGTTTTTCTGGTCAGAATTAAACCTTTTGAATTTTAAAATAGTTTCCAGCTCGTTGTTGGGAGACGATCCATTTTCATTCCCCGCAGTTTTCAAATCAAAGCTATCTTCTTGGTCCTTAAAGCGAGCCCCTGGACCAAACGCCCCTCGTTCAACTTTTGAGTCACTCTCCATCATGTTTTTCTGATCAGGTTTAAAAACGCAACCTTCGACTGACATTAAACTTTTAAATATGGTTGAAATAATGTCAGTTTAAGAAAAACATTCATTCAACATCAAAACAATGTTGAACACCGAACCATTGAAATGGTCTTGTTAATGGATTCACCTTTGAAATATAAACCAGTTTTGAGTTGTATGTTTTATCAACATTATTTTTCACAAACCAGAATAAAACATTACTGGAATATGTTAGTTACCTTGTTCCAACATCCAATCAACTTATCAAACTGTCTGATGTTGATTCAGGAGGTACTTTATACAACAATGTAAATAACTTGTGTTTGAAAACTCTACAGTGTTTCAGAGAAGAAAGCCAGGAGATAAAGGGTGCAAAAATATTTATTGCTGATAAACCTGTAGGTGTATATTTGCTTTATATTTACAATCATACAGAGTACAAAGGAATGGGAATGTTAAGGGGGAGAAAAAAAATCCCAATCGGTTTAATAAATACAAAGGAACTGCCACTGAACAAGACTACAAACAGAAACCAACGTTAGCAACTCCAACGGTTGCAGTGAAGACAAAAAAACAAAACTATTATTAACGAGTAGAGCGGTCTTCTTCTCCAAGAGGATCCGGCTTTAGTGAGAGTCCAGCTGGAGTTTTTGTTAGCCTGGTTGTCATGCTAAGGAAGAGTTATGAATGCAGACGATGAAGTGGTGGAGCGTTAAACGTGCAAACTGAACACACTAGTTCCTATGGTTTAGTTAAGCAACAGTTACTTCTTATTTTGTACTTGTGTTAAGCCGATCAACATCATGTCTTTGGCTAGCAACAGTCTAGAGAGTAAAACAGTAGCTTACACAGTCATAGTTTTAGTAAATGCATGGCAGATGCTCATTTAAAAAACAATATTTACAATAAGAAAAAAAATACAAAAAAGTCACAGCTAACTGAAGTGCATGGAATGCAAATTCTAACCATGTAACTCAAACTTCATACCGTGTTTTTTTTTAATAATATATGATCTGTGGTGACCAGTGTGTAGTGTTACTAAATAAGTCATTACAGAGCTCAAATATAGTGGGCTTGTAAGCATGCAGCACGGTGGGCCGACATGATGCATCAGAACTCCTTTGTGTCCTTGTTGTCAAACAGGTGGAGCCTCTGCTCGGCCGTCAGCCCCTCCTTCAGACTCTGCGGGAGGGAAACAAACCACGTCAGGAGACGGCTGGGATCAACAGCGAGGTTTCTGAGCAGGCAGTGTTTCAGTCAGCTAAACGAGGACGACTCACACACAACACTTCAGAACAAACGCTTTCCCAGCCTGTGTTATGTCTGAACCCACAACTGGTTTAGCATGCATTTAACTCATCACCTGCCACCAAAATAATAATGTGTCGTGTTAGAAAAATTAGAAAAAAAAAACACTGGAAGGATTTTATGGGCCGAATCAAGTCATTTAACTGGTTAACTTTTGGAGTCATGCCAATTCAAGATGGCAAGTTGAATTCAGCAAACACAAAAATGGCTAAAGCTCAGTCAACTTTAGTAACACTGAGCTAAAATATGATGTGGTAGTAGCTGAGAGTGCTTTACATCACGTACTCCTAGCACCAACCGATTGTTTAAAATTACACAAACTTATTGTACAGGAGACATATCATGTTTTAAATCCTTCTTTTTCACATTTATATCCTCCAGTTAGGGTCTTTATAAAATGGAACTGCAATAATTTAGTCTGAATTCCTCCTCATTGTAACTCCACAATCCCCTCTTTTACCACTTCTCATGCTACGTTCACACCGAACGCGTTTTGAGCATCTAAAACACGCCCGACGCCTCCAGCTGGACGAGCTACGTTCTGACCAGGACAGAGACTAGACGAGCACCTGAAGAGGGAGGAGCGTATTGGTTTTTTCAGGTCTGTCTTCAGCGGATGAAATAAAGATAAAATAACGAAAATGGCTTTGCTTTATTTACTAAGAGCAAGCGAACGTTGTGCTCACCAGATAATTAACCAACCAGATGATTTAGAGGCGGTCACTTCGGTTAGTTTCACCACTCCAGGAGCTGTGAGCTGACAAACTATTTTTTTGTCCCGAGTTCGGTTTAACACCGCGGTCAATTTAACGAGCTGCTGACCAAATCAGTGCTGATATCTCCAGCCTGAACACCAACTACAGACGGTCGATTTCAGCTAAAGAGCTCCTGTCCGTCTGTTTCAGGTTAGTGGGCAACATTCAGGAAACCTTCACGTGGAAAAATGAGTCTCTCTGATTGGTTGATGCGGTGCGTTGAGCAGCAAAGGTTCAGATTTTTGAACTCGAGCATCAGCTGCTTTGGACGTGCCGCATGCACGTCAACGCTCTACCGCAACTTCTGCTTCCTTGCACTCTGCGAGACCCCTAGAGGTGCGTCCACCATGGACTTTGCATGTAAACCGGCTGCTCCTGCAACTCAAAACACGTTCGGTGTGAACGTAGCATCAGAGATGTGTTCCAGATCAACTTGTTTGGTCTCTTTGAATCTAAATGAGGGGCTTCACACCCCGACCCCCCGCAAGCTTACATACTGGTTCATTCTAATTTGAGAGGGGGATTTAAAACTATATAGTGGCGCAGAAACATTTTATTTCTAAATTAATTAAAAGATGTCAACAACAGAAGACTGTCGTTCACACAGAATGCGTTTTGTGCTGCAGGAGCGGCCGATTTACATGCAAAGTCTAWGGTGGACGCGCCTCTAGGGGTCGTGCGTCGCGTCACATACGTTTTGGGTGGCGCGCAAGGAAGGCAGAAGGGTCGCAGAGCATTTTCCGCGCATGCGGTGCTGCGGAAGCAGCCGCCGCCCGAGCCGCTGCCAGAGTTCAAATATCTGAACTTTTCGCCGCTCGACGAGTCTCCCACTGAAAACCGAAACAGACGGACTGGAGATCTTTACCTGAAATCGACCGTGTGCAGTTGGATTTTCTGGCAGAATATATCAGCATCGATGTGGATCAGCTGCTCGGGACAAAAAAAGTCTGTCAGCTGGCAGCTTCTGGAGTGACGAAACTAACCGAACAAATCGCCTCTAAATCATCTGGTGAGTTAATTATCTGCGGTGCGCAACGTTCGCTTGCTCTTTAGTAAATAAATCAAAGCCATTTTCTTTTATTTTATCTTTATTCACCCGCCGAGGACAGATGCTCCTCCCACACCTCGCTGCTGCTTGTTCTGGTCTGAACATTAGTGCGCTCTTCGGTCTGAAAATAGCGCGTCCAACGAGAGGTGTTTTGTGTTTTTTGGCCACTCAAAACGCATTTGGTGTGAACGTAGCATAAAGGGCTCGACACATGGCAGGCGACGTCGCTCCCTTTACATTCATTTCCTATAGAACTTGTGCAATGAGGCGACAACCGCTCGCCCTCCTCCAGCCGAGCGACAGGTGAAAACCATGCATGTGAAATACACGTAGACGAGCAGACGCCAGCTTGTGACGCAACAAATGAAAAATGCTCAACTTTTGTCGCTGTTGCATTGCGTTACAACCAATTAGCAAGGGTTTCATTGACTGACCAATGAGAGGAGAGTATGCTACATACTGCAGTTAGCTAACACTTTCAACATTATTTTAGCTCTGTCAAACTTTCCAATTTTATATGACCCTTCATCAAGTGATTACTGAAAAAAAGGCGGTTTTATGGGAATTTGTTGGCTCCAGGGTGAAGTTATCTGTTAAGTTTTTCCTTATAAAGTCGTATTTTGGCATGCGTTTGTTTTTCAATGTCATTAGCATCGCAAAATTTGTTTGGTTAACACGTCCGTAATGCCCCCCCCACACCTTTTTGCGAACCACCATTAACCTTTACATAAAGCAGTAGAAGAACCAAAGACAAGCGACCCGAGAGTGTGATTCACAACTTTGCCGTCGTATCGTGTCCCGTGTGTCGCGTTTCACCCTGGTTGTGATGACGACTGTTACTCGCTGTTGTTTGTCGTCCCCCGTGGGTCGAGCCCATTAGTCTGATCCAGAGCCAGAGGAGAATGTAGACACCAAACTGTTGTTGGTAAGTCCAGACCTTATTTGGCAGTTCTGTTGCAAATAATTTGATGTAAAAGGTCAGAAAAAATAAAGAAAACTTAACGGGTTGAAAAATATGACTCAAACAGAATATAAAGATATCTTCGCAGCACTGAGACTTTTCTGCCCTCCTAGAGACTCCAGGTGCACAACAAAATGCATTTAAAGGCTAAAAACGTGGATTTAGCATGATATGTCTCCTTTAAAATGTTTAAAATTTCATCCCAACATGAGCTAAAACTCCAGCCTGACAGACAGCAGGTGACATGCATCGCTTTAAATAATGGCTGGGTTCATAGTTGACATTTTACAGCTTATAAGCAAAAACACACACTATTTGAAAAACACTGAACAGTGAAAGTATGCTTTTAGTGTTGTTTTTATTAGTTTTATGGTTCAGAAAGATTAGTTTCACACCCTGTAAGAAGTCACACACCATCACCACAAACTGTGTGTAGATGTATACTAATGTGTAGCAGTGTCTAAAGGACAGCAGGGTGTGTTACAGCAGCCTGTGGGTGTGAATTGTTTGGTTTACCTAAAGGAGGAGGMGGCCTACAAATCTTCAGCTGCTCTAATTGTCCCAGGGCATGTCTCGATTCACAGACTGAAGACAGAAGGGGAGGAAAAGAAGAGAAACACACACACATACACACAGGCAGGTGTGTGTTAGACTACTGGGGTGTTTTATTTGCAACAAAATCCCAAAACTGCAGCTCAGATGGAGTCAAAACATGGTTGAACAAAAATGCAGCCACAGGCAGGAACTACACATGCAGCTCTGCAGGTGGCCTGTAGATGGCAGCAAAGCTCTGGAAAATGTTTATCAGGCTTTGATCGTTTTATCAGGACTGTCAGTGTGTTGCTGCTTCTTATCTCACACACACAATGAGTGATGTGATGTACTGAGCGCTTTGGTTGGATGGATGACTGATGGCATCTTTACGTTTATTTTTCTCTCTCACCTACCTTTGATCTCATTGTGCGCTCTGAACGTTTGGCTGCTGCGGCGGCCATCTTCAGGATGTCCGGGTTGCTTTTAGACTTCATTATATCTGTTAGAAACATATACACATACATGGGTCAATCAAAAATACAAGAATCTGTTAAAACTACAAGGAAGTGATGGGTTAAAGGGATACTTTGTATATTTTTTACATTTTGAAGTGGCTTCTGTGGAAAAGTAATGAAAGATCTTACCTGTTGTAGATAGTTTTATTCAAAAGGCCTCAGTTTGAAGAAAGCAGTTTACGTCTGACATGACTTATGAGTCAACAACTTGTCTGAATATAATCAGGACCAAAGTGGATTGCTGCCATCTTTAAACGCTCCAATCTCTCCAACTTAATGATTCACTTAAAGTTTCACAATTTTACACTGTTGTCTAGTCTGGATTACTGTAATTCTTTATTATCTGGACATCCAGAAAACTCTTTAAGAAGTCTTCAGTTAATCCAAAATGCTGCTGCGAGAGTTTTAATGAGAGTTGGAAGGAGAGATCATATTTCTCTAGTTTTAGTTTCTCTCCACTGGCTCCCTGTCAAATTTAGAATCGATTTTAAAGTATTACTCCTAACAGACAAAGCTCTTAACAACCAAGCCACATCATATATTAAACATCTCACCCCTAATTTACATTACTTGCGTTCTGTCTCCGCTCCGGTCCGACCTCCGCAGCAAAAACACCCCCATTATAATCACTGAGAGTGTTTACACTGGCTGCACAGGGCGGCGGTGAGCGGACGGCGATCCGTCAAAATTAGAACAGATCCTATTTTTGCCGGACGCCGGAGTCAATTTTTAAAGATTACGTTGCACCAACAGGAAAAGAAAGGAGCACAACATCCGTATTTTCAAAATAAGACACTTTTAGGCTGGATAATTTGTCAGAATAATGTAGAAATTGTAGATATCTTAATAAATATATGGATATGTTTCTACACAAATGCTGTCAGAATGTATCGTTCTGTTTGGGAAGCAGATGGAAACATGTAGATGAAGCATATGTACACACACGATACACGTGGATTTTATTTTGAAATCAGAAGTTTCAGAAAGCCGACAGCGAGACAGTTTCAACATAAATACCAAAAGCCTTTATATCGTTGTTTTTAGCTGTATTTGGAGTTCGTCTTTCACAGAATTAATTATTTTTTGCTGTGACTTCCACACTTATCACTGAATTTATCGCGCAATCTCCTTCCTGCACGTCTGTCAGTCAGGAGCGGAGTGGAGGTAGTGTAAACTGGACTTGAAACGCACAGCTGCGACCTGCGCTGCGGAGCCATAACGCATGTAATGTAAATTAGGGGTTATTGTTCCATACTTTCCTAACAGAGCACTTTGCTCTCAGACTGCAGGTTTACTTGTGGTTCCTCCAGTTTCTAAAAGTAGAACGGGAGGCAGAGCTTTCAGTTATCAAGCTCCTCTCTTGTGGAACCAGCTTCCAGTTTCTGTCTGTGAAGCTGACACTCTGTCTACTTTTAAGATTAGACTGAAGACTTTCCTTTTTGATAAATCCTATAATTAGACTTAGGTTTCCTGAGTTATTCTTCATTTCTGCTGCTATAGACTCAGACTGCTGGAGCACAAACTGAGCACATTTCCTCACTCTGCTGTTGTCTTTAGTCTCTCTTCTCTACATGTTTATTGTAATTATTTCTATAAATACATGTTTTTTTTCTTTGTCTCTTCCAGAAGAATTTGCACCTGGACCAGTCCTGGACCAGTTCTTCTGTGTTTACCTGTGTCTCTTTCCTGTCCCTCAACCAGCCGGTCGAGGCAGATGGTCTCCTGTCCTGAGCCTGGTTCTGCTGGAGGTTTCTTCCTGATTAGCAGGGAGTTTTTCCTCTCCACCGTTTGCTCAGGATGGGAGACTGTGATGAAGTGATTCAACACAATCTGCTGGTTTCTTCTTTAGATTGTTCTTTTGTTTCATGTACAGTGCCCTGAGACAACGTATGTTGTGATTTGACGCTATATAAATAAACTGAATTGAATTGACAAATCCACAGTAATGGTTATTTGGAAGCAGAAACAGAAGAAAAGGTAACACTTCAGGTGCAGCCTGAGGTGAATTCCAACTAAAAAGGTTAGAATTTGTCTGCTTTAAACTGATGGCAATATGATTTAAAAAGCCCAATTTATAAGAAGTTCTTTGAAAATGTGAAAAATGAAGTCATTATAAGATGAAGAAAACAGGTTTGTGTTTGGTCCAAATGAACTGAGCTTTTAAAGTGAATTTACTTCATTTTTAATATTTAACAGAAATTATTTCAGCCTTATTGAACCCTTTACATTAACACGTGTTTCACAGTTGTCATTAGATGTTTGAGATGAATATTGAAAGCAGAATATTAAAATCTCACTACTTGTATACCAAGCATTTATACAGACCACTCAAAATCTAAGGAAGCTGCTGTGTGTATTTGTGCTTTAATGAAATGAAACAAAATGACTTTCGACCTGAAAGAAGACCCTGCTCCAGTTATTTTAAAGAAAATTTTTGAATCATTTTTTGTTTGCACAAGCATATGTTTACGCGTTTATTGCCTGTGTGTTTAGTATCGGCACTTATTATTCCGCTCCTGCAGATCTACGAATATTTGATCATTTTTATGAATTCTTAAACTATTTTTGTTCTTGTTGGAAAACAAACGGGGCTGCTGTGCATTAAATGTGTTCTACAAATAAAGTTTTAGTAACTCCTCTACAACAGGTAACAAACTAACTCCTCATAACTTTTCCACAGACTTTAAAATAGCCAGAGCATCCCTTTGAGCCTCTCTGGTTCTGATGGTACCGTATCCTCCTCGCTCCACGTCCTCCAGGGACGGCTCTCCCAGCGCCTCCTGAGCCAGCTGCAGCTGCTCTCTGAGCCGGCCAAGATCCCGCTCTGCCTTGGCCTTGACAATACTCAGCTCTGTGTAGATGTCTTTGTACTTATCTGTTGCGTACTTCTTGTCCTAGAAATACAAGGTTGGACTAATGAGACCTGTGAAAAACGTCGTGTGAACTCACAAACATCGCCTGGTTTAAAGTGCCTCAGAGAGGCGGCATGCTGCCCTGACGGGGGAAGAAGTGCATCAACATTTACTCTCTGAGCCGCCTGGAGCTCCTCTTTCAGGGAGTTGATTTCCTGCTTCAGGTATTGGACCTCAGACTCTTTCACCCTCAGCATCACCTGAAGAGTAAAAGAAAAGAAAAAAGTTTTCATGGCTGAAATATTTCCTGAAGGTAAACAGCTTTGATGAACTGAGTCTCACCTCTAACTCATACAGCTCTTTTCCCTGTATCACAGTGTTTGTGTCTCCCACCCCGTCCTCAGACGCCATGGAGCGCATCTTGGTGATTTCTGCTGCCAGACGGTTGTTCAGCTTCTGAAACATGTCACAAAAAGCAGCTTAGAACCAGCAAATAATTGTTTCACGCCTAATGTGCGACATAGTAGCTGTGTAATGGGAAAAAGACAAAAGGGCACCTGGTTGTGTGCATTGAGCTCCTGGTTCTCTCGCTGACACTGCCTGAGGGCCTGCCTCTCGGCCTCCAGCGCCTGGGCCAGGTGGGCGTTTTCCAGGCACTTCTGGGAATACTGCTCCGACAGCACCTCGATCTCTCGCTGGAAGGAACACACCTCCTCCCTGAAACGCAACGTCGTGACATGATTGGAGCAAAACAAACACAAGGAGGCGTGGCTTCAGAGGAGCTTGACGCACAGATACAGTGTGACCTCAGAGAGCGGTGCGTTCTGACTTTTTTATCTTTAGGTTTTATCTTGTAATGAGCTGCTGCCTTACATCCTTCCTACTACAAAGGCTGAGTTGTTTCATCCCTCTTAAAAACCATCATCCTCATTTATATTTATATTTATATTTTATATATTTATATATCCGCATGCATATATATATATATATATATATATATATA